CTTGCGGTTTCGCATTTCCTCTTTCTGCACTAGCGCTCGAGCGGTGAAATTGACTAAAGCGCGGCTGGGCAAGTTCCTAGGCGTGCAGTGCCGGCTGAACCTGACAATCTCTACCTCTTTACAAAGCAATCAGTGGTATGCAGAAGTAGTCTAAGTAGGACATGACTCTCCTCCCCAAAAAGCCTACATGTGATTCTCAGTTAACAACCACTTATTCAGCGACCATTCGAAATTACAAGTGGTACTTATGATGGACCTCATACTTACGATGGTTGCAGCATCCCACATTCACACAATTGCCATTTGTGACCTTCTTTGCCAGCTTCCTACAAGCAAAGTCAATGGGGAAGCCAGCAGGAGGTTGCAAATGGCAACATGTGACATTGCGCTTAACAACATCGCGGGATTCACTTAATGATGGCAACTGGAAATGCTGGCATTTCCATCACTAAGTGGCATAGTCATGTGATGTTGCGCTTTATGACTGTGTCACTTAGCGATGGAAATTCTGGTCCCAATTATTGTCATCAAGTGAGGACTACTGTATGAGAGAGCTAAGCAGAGTTGAGAAGGAGATGAACCATCAGTATGCCATCAAGTGTGTGAAGGTCAAGGAACTATGTACCTTAACAAAACATTTCTCAGTGTCTAAGAATGATGCAGCCTCTGAGAAGCCTGGGCTTAGAAAACAAACTAAATAATATTTTGCATTAATCAGCTCTCTCTCATCAGTACTTCGGCTTAAAAGATGTCTGCTGCCAGAGCAGCAAACACTGCTGCAACCCTAGTTAGCTCTCGCTTATTATGCAGGTGTAGCAATACTGCCAACACTATTATTGCACTTTCAAAATGTCCAAAATAAACCATAACTAATGAATACAACAGAATATCTAACATATCCTTCATGAAAAAGTGGACATTTAGTTTTTATGTTATTAGGACTCAGGTTCTTTGATGAAGTGATTGCTGGGATCGAAGATCCAAAAGGCTGAGAAGCACTGGCTTAGCTTACTACTGTAACACACAAATTGTACCCTCTTGCTTCCCTTACTCGGTGGAGAAATGCAGGCACTGTTACCGTCCGTGGGCTTCGCTGCTGTAATTTAGGGGTAAGGCAATGCATCCCTCCTAAGAGACCCAAAGTTCCAGCTCTGAGCACATAAAACCATTATATAACAGTGAAAGTGTTTGGGTTTTGTTTTTCATCTGATCAGCTTATGAGGACATAAGTACCTTAATTTCTTTTTCCGTTGTCCTTTTGTCCTCTCCTCTCTGCATGTATCACCAAGATCTGATGAAAAGAGAGGAAGACAAAGGAGAGATCTAACTCATGCCCTCAGTGACAGGGGTGAGATGGGAAAATAATTTGCCTTCATACAATTGATCCCCAAATGACCAGAGCACTATGAATGGGGATTACCTAAATCTCAGGAAAGTCCAGCTTTCTATTTTAGGGAGTTTATTATTAAGGAACTGGTAGCATGCATTACTATTTTTGAAACAGAAACATTAGCTTCTCTCCAAAAATATATAAAGTAAAATGATTTAAGTATTAGACTCTCTCTCTCAGCAAAATCTGTATTTTGTATTTTGTATACTCCATTCATCCTTTTCCTTCCATCCTCTTTTTCCTAAGTAAAGCCTACACTTTGGAAAAAAAAACAAAAACCCTCTTTCTATCTGAAGCTACAATATCAGTATTTATTATGTATCATGCCCAACTGCGCAGGGCTCAAGGCTTGCAGCTATCTATGAGGAATCTAT